TTTCTCTTTCATCTGACATAAAAAGATGGGTAAAAGTATAAGAAATAAGGGACCCTGGAATTTGCCAATCATGTTGATCTCCTAGTTTTACTAGAAAGCAAGAGAAGGTTTTAGTTGTTGTTTCCTTTTCTTTAAGTTTTGTTGATGGAGAACCCAAGAACCTGTTCTGCTCTTGACCCACAACTGAGTAAACAGTGAAAATATTACAAGAATAGTTGTTTTATTAACTTTTCCTTTGTGCTCCCCTTTGGGAAAAGCCATCAAACAAATTTCCAATAGTAAATAAACATAACAGGATCTAAAGTCTTATGTGTTTATAAGTAAATGGATGCTAATGAGGAAATCTTAAAAGTGCTGATCACCAATGGCCAACCACTTACTGATGCAATAAATACAGAAGAAAGCCCCCTTGCCTCTTCTTAGCTTGTAATGTTCTCCGAGAGCCAAGCCCCAAGCCTGGCAAGCAGTCTTAGCATTAGTTTCCCTCTCTCTTCTTAGGCTAACAGACATTCTTAAGTTACACAGTTCAGGATTCTGCTCAAGATAAGCTCCTAGCATGGCTCACTGGACCTCTAGGATGTTGTCTGGACACAACACTGAACCAGGTTCCAACAGAAAGAACTTTTGTAACACAAAGCAGAACAAAAACATCAACAGCAATCGAGTCCTATATAAACCCTAAAACGGTCATTACTGCTCTAAGGCAAGAAATAGGTGCTTTCTTTTGAATAATGATTTTTAAAGCCATGCCATCCATACAGGGTGGTCTTCACATCCTTTGCAGGAGCGCCTCCAGAAGGATCACAGAACATCTTTGTGATTTGTAGACAGTAAGATCATCACTCGGCTCTATGGGAGAGGCCATATTTTTCTGCATATGGATGAGGCCCATATCACAAAACAGATCCGTTCTGTCTCTCTCCCTCTTTCTCTCCCTCTCCTTTCTCTCTCTCTTCAGAGGCCCAGGAGGAAATGACTGTGTAGAATTTTAAATCAGAAACCCAAAGCTTAAGTTAGTAGTGTCAGGTTAAAGGCTCGCCCATTCTCCAAAGCTAATTCAGTTCTGAACAGTCCCCGGGGTGTCTAGCTGAACAGAAGGAGCAAGGAAACCTTAGCAGCCCAGAGCCCAGCCGGGGGAATTGCTAGGACTCTGTGCCAGGGGTGGAGGCTCACCCCAGGCTTGGTATCAGATCATTCCAAGCCCTGTCTGGATTTCCAGGACTGAGCCACTCAAGGTGGAACTTCCAGGGTCCTTGGAGTCTGTGCTCTCCAGTGAGAGGGTGGTGGGCTTTGTGCAGTAAGACTGTCCCTGACTAGTGATATATTTAATAAAGGAGAAATGGACTCAATGAATACAAAGAATAACAGATACCTTAGGCTTTAGCAACTTTCCATCACATTATTGGGGGGAATGTGTGCAAAGGGGGGGGCGGTGATCATCAAGTCTTCTATAAATTGAGATTACACAACTTTCTTAAACATTGCAGGGTTTCATGTTTACCGGTTCTACAGATTCTTTAACACATCAGTAGTGGCATCACTTTGGTATTTACTAGAAAGGGCTTTGGGGCCTTTATTTATCCTAGCTCATTGCCCTTTTACCCCCTTTTGTACCCATCTTCTTAGGGTCCTCTTTCTCTACCCAACATCACACCCATCATCCTTTTATTTTTTTCCAGGATTGATTTTTAAATCAGCCCCTACAGAAACTTAAGCCCCTGGGTTGACTTCTATCTGGCAACTTTAATCCCCAACCTTAACTATAGTTGAACTTTAATACACTGTTTCTTCAGGGGGAAAGAAGCCCCCTCTTCACCTGAACAGTTCAGTGTGAAAACGAAGACTTAGGTCTGCAGTTATATTCTAAGTTGTATTCTCCATTAAACAGAAAACGAACCCTAATTTAGACCCGCGTCAATATTTATGACATCTCCACACCACTTTGCAAGTTTCACCAAAGCCTCACTCAGCATTTAACCCATCCCAGCTCACTGGGGCTGACTTGCAAAATAACACTCTTTGCCAGAAAAACTGCTGTCGGGCCAAATGCAAATTGCTTATAAAACATGTGTACACCGGGGTTTCAGACAGACATCGCACATCCACCAAAAAAAAAAAAAAAACCCAAACCAAACCAAAAAGCTTTCACTGAGAAGGTAAATGGAAAAGCTTCACAAATTAAGACTTCCCTTTTCAAAAACAAAACAAAAACCAGGAAGGACAAAACCGTGCTTCCAAAGGTAAATGGCTTCTGACTTTAAAGTAAAAGTGGCTGTCTGTGTCGGAGAGGGCGGCGATCAGACACACGGAGGTGTGCTCGGGTGCCTGGGTCTATATCTGTGCGTGTTTTCCTGTTAGGTGGAGGGCAGCGGCCCCCGCGCGGGCCCGGGGGGTGGGAGGGCCCCCTCCTCCGGGTGACTTCCCCGCCAGGCCGGCAGCCCGCGGGCGAGGCCCACCAGGCCCCGGGAGCTAAAATGGAGCCTGAATTTCCTCCGCGCCGGCGAGGGCAGCCTCCGGAGGTCAGGGTCAAGGTCACGGGCAGGGCAGGCTGCAGCTGCCCGCCCGCGCGGCGCGCCGGGGCCGGGAGGGAAGGCGGACAGAGAGATCCCCGCTGCTCTCCCACCCCTCCTCCTACCCGAGCCAACCTTTTATTTAAAAAAGAAGCCGGGCCGGGGTGTGGGGGGGAGGGGGATGGGAGAGGAAGGGGGGGGAGAGAAGAAAGGAAAGTGACCCAATCACCCCGCACACCAGCTCCCCCAAAGTTGCCATCTAAGGGCAAGTTCGCAGGCAACCCCGAAGCCCCGCGGCGGCCCGCGCCCCGATCCCCCCCCTTACACACACACACACACTCGGGCCAGCCGGTCACACCGGGGACCCGTCCGCCCTGCCCCCTCCGCACGCTCCTCCACCAACTGCGGCGACTTCGGCGTGGGTCGCCGCGCGGGGCCCCGGCGGCTCCGCCCCGCCCCGCCCCGCGGCCGCCGGCGGGCGATTTATGTGCACACACACTCGGTACGTCCGTCCAGCTCGACAGATTACACGGGTGACATTACCCTCGGAACCTCTAGCGGGCAGGCGGGGAAAGGCCTGCCCAGGGGCAGGGGTGTTCTTTGCTCTAAAGGAAGGGGAAGGAAAAAAAAACCCAGAAAGCACCACCCCAGCCCTGCGCACCGGGAAGGGGAAGAAAGAGGAATGTGTGCGGAGCGCGCGGCCTGCGCCGCCCCGGGGGGGACCCCCTCCCACCCCCGGGCCGCCCCGCCGCGGACCCCTCGCGCCGCCCCGGGGCGGGGGGGGGGGGGGGCGGACATCGATCGCTGCCTGTCTGCGGCGGAAGCGCACGGCTCGCGCCCGGCCCCGGCCCAGACACCAGCGCCTTAACCCTTCCCCCACCCGCCGTGAACTTCAGGTGACCGACCACGTCGGCCGCCCCGGCGCGCCCGCCCCGCGCCCCCCCACCCGCCGGCCCCGGCTGTGCAGCCCCGGGGCTTCTCCGCGCAGCGCCCCCACCGCGGGGAGGGGAGGACGGGGGGAGGGAGGCTGACCCTGCGTCCCCCCTCCACCCCCCCGACCCCTCCCCCCGCGCCGGCACCGCGTCCCCTCCCCCGCCACCCCGCCCCACGCCGGCTCCCCTGCCCCCTCTTCCCCCGGCATTCAAGGAGCCCGGCGGCCCCGGGGATATTTTTAGTTGCTTCTTTCTCCTTCACTTTTAGCTTCAGCAGCATCTCGGAACGCTCGCAGCCCGGAGAGATGGGGGGGAATGGGCCGAGGGGGGGGCGGGGGAAAAGTTAGAGGAGTCTGGCGAAGAAAAGCCGAGGGCGGGCGCGGGGGCCGGGGGCGCGGGTGGAGGAGGGGCCGGGGCGGCAGGCCGCGCCGGCGGGCGAGCGTCCCCCCCGGTCGGCGTGCGTGGCCGCCGCCGCCGCCGCCGGGGAGGGCTGCGATGCACTTTAGTCCCGGACTCTGCTCGGGTTTGCCGGGGAAGGGAAGGCGGGCGGGGGGGGGAGCTCCGGGAGCCCGAGTCTCGGCCCGGCTCCGTCTGCTCCCACTGACCCCGCATTTGATGGCGACCCGGAGCCCCCGCCCCTCCCGCCCTCCCTCCCCGGTCCTCTTCCCCCGGGGCTCTGCAGGGACCTCGCGAGCCCGCCCGGCCTCCCGCGCCCGCCCTCCCTCCCTCCGCCGCCTCGGCGCGGCTCCCGCACCCCACATCCGCCCGCCCGCTGGCCCGGCCTCGCCCCCCAGCCCGCTGCCTGGCGCGCCCCCCTCGGCCCGGCGCCGCGGGAGCAGCCGCCCGGCGGCGCGTGTGTCCCCGCGCGTCCGCGTGCGGCGCCCCCACGCCCTCCCGCGTGTCCCCGCGCGTCCGCGTGCGGCGCCCCCACGCCCTCCCCGGCTCCCCCGCCTCCGCCCGCGGCCCCGCGGCCCGACCCTCCCCGGCCGCAACCTTTACCCGGACACGGACCTCTCCCGGGTCCCCGGCCCGGCAGGCGGCCGCGCGCCCGACACCCCCCCCCCCCCCGCTCCACGCCATGTCACGGCCCCCGACCCCCCGCGCGCCCCGGCCCCGCACCCGCAGGGCGCGGGGAGTCGCCGGGAATTCTCGTGGGCAGCTCGCCACCTCTCCCACCCCCCCACACACAGACACCCCGATAAAGCCGGCGTCCGCGCGGCCCCCTCCCCCGCCACCCGGAGTGGGGAGGGGGAGGAGGGGGGGCAGGCCCGATCTCAAGGAAGGGGGAGGAAAAAAAAGAAGAAGAAGAGGAGGAGGAGGAGGAAGGGAGGGCGGGAGGGGGGGCGAGAGAAAGAAAGAAAAAAGAGCGAGCGAATGGAAAGGGCACGGGGCTGATCATCACCAACATGGCTGCCTCGGCGAGGAGTAACCCGGGCTGTGTCTTTGTCGGCTTCACCTCTGTAACCCTAAACTGAGGCCGCAAACAACGGCGGGGCTGCGGCGGGGCCGGGCGGCAGGGCCGGGCAGGGCCGGGCGCGGCGGGGAAGGGGTGACTTACGTGAGGGAAGGCGCTGGGGCTGCTCCTGCTTCCTCCGGGGCATTTTCCCCCTTCCTCACATTCTCCTCCTCGGTTAATGGGAGATCAAATAAACCCCCGTGGGGGCACGGAGGCCGCCACGGGCAGGGCCGGGGAGGCAGGGGGGCGGGCGGGCGGGGGGGTCCCCCCTTCGCTCCGATGTGTGCGAAAAATAGAAAAAAAAAAGGTGAAAAAATAAGAGGATGGAAGCTTGTTTCCTGAAGCCCGGAGCGGGTTTCTTCTCTCTCGCTCCCCCTCTCTCTCTTTCTCTCTAATTTTTTTCTGTTTGGTCGTGCACCTGGCTTGTCCCCCGAGCGTAATATTCCTCAATGGAATCGGATCTCATAGGTGTGAGTGAGTGTGTGCGTGTCCGGGGCTCGCGTGGGGTGGGAGGGATCGGTCAGTGCGCGCCGGTGCGCGGCGGGGATGGCCGCGCGCGGTGTCTCCGAGCCCCTAACACTAAGTCGGGATCAAAGGGCAGCGGCGGCGGCGGCGGCGGCTCGGCTCCCGGCTCGCTCGCTCGCTCTCGCCCTCGCTCGCTCTCTCTCTTGCTCTCCCCTCGCTCTCTTGCTCTCTCTCCCCTCTCTCTCTCTCTCCCTCTTGCTCTCTCGCTCTGTCACACACACACACACACAGAGGCACAGACTGAAGGAGAGAGCGAGACACGCGCGCGCGCACACACACACACACACACGCGCGCGTGCACACGGCACACACAGCCCTGGAAGGTGCCCTAAGGCTCCCCGGGGCCGACTCCAGCCTCCCGGGCTGCGGAGAAGCCCCCGGGGGGCGCGCGCGCGCGCGGGCGGGCGCGGGCGGAGGGAGTGCTTCCCCACGGCTCCCCGCTCGTCGCCCCTCTCCCGGGGGGCCGGGGTGGGGGCGGGTGGGGGTGGGGAGAGGGCCCGGGAGAAAAGTTTCCCCCCCCTCCACTCTTTTCCTTCATTATTCTTACTGATTCTTCTCCTTCTACCCTGGGTCTCTTCACTTTTTGTTTTAGGAAACTATGTTTTGTTCTAGTATAAAACCTTTCAGGTTCTTTTATAATTTTTTCCCCTTCCTCTCAAGTCATCCATCGTCTTGAAGTCTGGGGGGGGGGGGCTGCCTGGGGGGGTGGAGGGGGGGACACGGGGTTAGAGCCTCCCACAAGCCCAGTGAAAAGATTACTGTTATTTAAGAAGAAAAAGAAAATATTCCAAGGTAGCTCAGAGCGAGAGCCCTGGGTGGAAGGAAGGAATACAGGTCCAGGCTTTGGAGAGCCTGGCAGAGTTCACACTGGAAAACTGCTGCCTAAATGAAATTTGCAGGTTCAGGTTCTCACAATGGAGGCTCAGAAAACCAGGTCACCCCCGATGGTTGACTTACTGCCACGAGCGGCTCCTGCCTCGCACCCTGCAATCTGGACCTCTGAAATGTACTTTTTCCTCTATCACCATGCAGGTATATGAAGTTTACCCCCAAGCCATTGTCGTGTGCATTAGGAGCTCAATCTAGCAGTTTTCATTAACCGATAGACTTGCTTTCCTTCTAAAATCACCCATCTTGCTTCAAAGACACACATAAAAAGGGAAATCCAGAAAAGGTCCCTGTCTCACTCAGCACAAAGGGTATAGTTGGTGGGAGAGAGAAGTGTGGTGGTTGTGACTCGAAGTCATTTGGATAGAACTGCACTCTAAAGTTGTTAATGATTTAAACTCCAAACCTGCTGCTACAATTGAAGTAAAAAAAAAAAAAGTCTGAAGACTTGTTTCATAAAACTCTTTCTTTTTTAAGGGGAAACTTTGAACTTAGCGGAATACATTATATGTCATGAGTCAGATACAGCAAAAAATAAAATGTAAAAGGTGCATTATTGAACTACATCTTCCCTTTTGGAGATTAAAAAAAAACTCTGACTCATCTTAGTATGTTAAATATTTTCCCACCAATTTTTAAATAGACTTTTTTCATCAAAGAAATGGAGGTAGCTTGAAGGTATAGAACATTAAAATGACACTCTCTGTAAGTTGACATGAATCATTCTTCCTTGAGCTTCAGACTAAGAAATCTCTAATGAGGGTAAAAGACAGTTATGGGGCTTACATTCTGACGAAGCCCCTTTTAAAATAACCATAAGGCTCTATAGTGTACACCTCTCCTAGAAAAGCTTAGAGAATACTGAATAATATAACACTCCCCCCAAAAACGATACAAAAGGGAATCTCAGGAAGAGCCCCTTCCTGTCAGCTTCTCTCAAAATACCTAGCGTCCCAGTCTCATTTGACGATCTGAAGAAAGGTTTTAACACATACTTGTGTTTTCTCCAAACCCCAATCCGAGTGGTCACATCCAAGAGGGACCATCTTCTTTGCATCAGTTCTTCCTAAAATGTTAGCTTCAAAAAAAAAAAGTAGTTAACCAGACATCAGTGGCTCACTCCTATAATCCTAGCAACTCAGGAGGCTGAGATAGATCTGAGGATCGCAGCTGGAAGCCATCCTTGAACAGGAAATTCTATGAGACTTATCTACAGTTGAGTACCAAAAATCAAGAAATAGAGGTGTGGCTCACATAGTAGAATGCCAGCCTTAAGTGGAAAAAAACCAAAAACAGACTCAGGACACTGCCCAGGCCCTGAGTTCAAGCCTCAGAACTGGCACCCACTCCACCACCCCCCAAATGTAGTTAAATTTCCCTGCAGTGTCATCTGAAATTGAACTATCAACTCAGATCAAATGCACCTGGACATTAATTAGATGCCCCATTCGACTAGAAATTAACAGATGGGCTTCTTCCTGCCAGGGAAACCCATTGCCTGGAGCCTGCAGATTCCAGAAGATTCTGCACTTAACCCCCAGGTAGTCATAGCATGCCATCAGAGCATCCTGGGCAAACCTTTGGCTATGATATTGAGGGTTACTACTCAGTGTAAACACACCACCACCTTTTTCAGAATTGCTCGTCTCTTCACATTGTTTAGTGCACTATAATTGAAAACACACGTTAGGCCTTTCCTCAAAGCAGAGTCCATTTCCTGCGACCTTTTAAAGGCATGCGGGCAAATGCTGTCAACTTTTAATTATATAGGTGTTTTATCAACAGCCAAAAGCATTTTTTAAATTGAATCTATTCATACTACCGCCTCTCCAAAAATTATTTGAACTAGTACATACAACAATGGAGAATGGAAGTAAGGACAGGACATTTTCTGCTTAAATCACAGGCCGGGATCAGCGCTTCAACAACACACTTCAAGGTCATTTGCATTTCACTCCTTCATTACTGCATGCTCTGGGAACACCAACTCATTTTAATGTTAGGCTCACCTAAAATATTAGGACGACAAATACTGGCGTTTACTACAGTTGATTTCAAGATCCAAAACTGAATAGCTAATTTGGGGTATATCATGAACATGGCTTATTAAAGTCATTGGATTGAAACATTCTATTTGATTCCCACCCCTATCCCCAGGAGCAGATTTTCAAGGCCATATTTTGCCTTTGTAATCATGGTACTACGTCCACCCTCATCTCCTATCACCTTCTTCATTGGGAGATTAAGGTAGATTTTCTGAAAATTGTATATTCTTAAAGGTTTCCAATGGGCCGGCTGTGCGTGAGGTATGCTCCATGGAAGGCCCCTGTTGCGAGGCGTGGGTGAGGAGAGCACTTCCTCTAAAGCAGAGTGAGGTCTCTGGCAGGGGTCTGTGGGTCAGGACTGTTTTCCTAGTAAGAGTGCCATGTTATTTCCCCTTTCTTCATGTTGACTTGTTCACTGATGGTGGTAGAATGCTGGCAAACCTGACACCAATCAAGGCAGGGCACCAATGTGTCACCATTCATTCTGTTCTTCACCACAGAGGAAGTTTTTTGTTTGTTTGTTTGTTTAAAAAAGCAGATTCATTTAAGATCTATCCTTGATGAAAAAGATCAGTTTATTAAATCTGAGCCCTTGAGGACAAGACTTTTAAATATTCTTTGTGACAAAGTGGTAGGTATAAATGAAAAACACTCCTCCTACTGCAGTCTGAAGTTGTGTGAAGTTCATGGGGCATTATTTTTACTCCAAAGAATGACTGGCAGCCAAACTCAGACTGAGGTATTTCTCAAAAAACAAAACAAAAAAAAGTTGAGTGAAGTGAGCCTATAATTTCAAGGAAAACACTGCATAACAATTTTTTGGCAATGACGATATTTGCACTGGCAAATGAAAATTTAAAATTTAGATAACTTGGATTCATTACCATGCATTTAGCGACTTTCTAACATCCAGGAGGGTCTTTTTTAAAGAGATCCATGGTGACATTAGTAGATGTGTCAAGATTTTGGAAGATCTGCATAACTCAGTTTAACCCACATTTTCCAATGATCAAGGCATGATGTTACTAAATCATGTTGTAGAAGAGCCACTCAAAGTACAAAATAAATCAATGGATTTTAATGCTAAATAATAGAAAATGTTCATTGATATGGTTTCAGATTCCACCCAGTAACTGTTAAGAAATCACTATTCATCAACTTTTAGTGTTGTATCGGAGAAAAATATAGATATTTGAAAAGGCTATTAATATATCCCTCCCTCTTCTAACTATATACCTATGTAAGGGTGGATTTCCCTTCTTACAATGTGTGTGTGTGTGTGTGTGTGTGTGTGTGTGTGTGTGTGTGTGTGCGCGCGCACGTGTGCGCCAGTACTGGGGCTTGAACTCTGGGGCTTGTTGCCTCTTACTTGGCACTTTTGTCACCTTAACCACACTTCCTCTTCCAGCTTTTTGGTGGTTAGTTAAAGATAAGAGCATCACATGGACTTTTTGGTCCAGGCTAGCTTTGAACCAGGATCCACAGACCTCAGCATACTGAATTGCTAGGCTTATAAGTATAAGTCACCAACTACAGTTCTTTTCATACGGTGTCAGAGCTTCACGCAAGCTAGGCAAGCACTCTGCCAAATGGGCTATAGCCCCATCTCTGCTCTCTATGAATCTTTAACAAAAGCAAGATAATACAACAGGCAGAATGCAGAAGCAGATATGGAATCCAACTGTGTTCTATCAAGCCAGACATTACAAACATCTGCCAGCATACAGAGCAACAGTCTTCTTATTACAGAATGTTTTGTTTTGAAATCTAAGTTATTT